CACGATGGCTCTGCCCAGTCAAACATTCTACATTCTGCAGATGGAGGTAGAGTCCCGGTAGTGCACCTTAAGAACATGCTGGGGAAGACTATTTGGGTTACTCCTACTTCAGGTAAAAGTAAGCCCATACGTGGGATTTCCTTTGCCCAAGGACCTGGGTGCACTTCGTGGGCAATGCAGAAGGACGAGGATGTCCAATGTGTGCCTCAAGGGGACTTAATGTTAGGTGAAAATAGCCAATAAACTGTATTACATTAATCACCAAACAACCCTATAAATGTATTGCCATGGTTGACACATATTATGCTAATGGCATCATATTCATGAAGAAAAACATGAACTTGGATAAAGTCACGATTGCTTTCAGCAACTGATACCCAGCGACTGCTGCAGACTGAATACAGACAGCGTCAGATACATCAGCCACCAGCTCCAACTGCAACAGAGACTGCATGCCATCCTCCTGCCAGGCCCAAGGACACCTCTGCCCTACCGACTGAGCATCCCTCCTCCTGCCTTAAGAGACTGTTATGACAGATGGAACCTGAAGCTATGGACCAAATGAACTCACTATACATTCTGCAGTATATAGACTGCAAGGACCAAGTGAACCCAGGTCCTTGGGCAAAGGTAATTCCACGTATGGGCTTACCATGGCCCATGGGCTAAGGGAATTATATCTGTGTGCACATGCCTAAGACCAGGGAAGAGGACAGTAATTTATTAGACTGTATTAGGAAATATGGAACCTGAGGATAATGCAAAGGATATGGAACAAGGGGTGGACACGGTCCTGGTTCAGACTGGAATAGAGTTCATGTTCCTTTTTGGTAGCTGTAGGAGTGCTGATGCACACGGAGATTTCAGGGACCCTCCAGCTCCCCGTGTCTTGCATGCACACAGGCTCACAAGAAGCAGAGAGGGAACACAGATGGAGCACCGGGCCTGGATTGGCCAATATTCCATGTCATGTGACGTTACGCTCACCATATAAAGGAGGGGTGGGCAGGAAGGGGCACACTCTCACTTTTGGGATTGTGGTCGCGGCATCTTTGTGTTTCAGGATCGCTGGCCGGGAGCCGGCTGCGTGTCATTCGGCGGGTGGTGAGCAATTGCACTGTACATTATCCGTTCATACTGCTACCATATTATTTTATTACCATTATTCAACTGTTCCTATCTCAACCCATGAGTCTCTTTTTGCCCCTCTGCTTCCTTCCCCATTCCCAGGTGGGAGCTGTGTGGTGTTTGGCTGCCGACCAGGCTCAGACCATGAGTTACACCCACTGACATACACACCAACATGACATGCACACACACCCGTCTTGCCTGTTGCTGGCCTCACCAAAGAACAGTTAGAAGGGCAACTGACGTCATCTACGTGGACTTGTGCAAAGCACTTGACACGGTCCCACATGAAATCCTCGTCTATAAGTTGGAGAGACAGTGATTTGGCGGATAGACCACTCGGTGGATAAAGAATTGGTTGGATGGTCACACTCAAAGTGCTGAGGTCACAGTCTCAATGTCCAATTGGAGAACAGAGATGAGGGGCATTCCTCAGGGGTTGGAGTTGGGTCTGGTATTGATTGACATCTTTGTCGCTGTCATGGACAGTGGGATCGAGTGGCTGGAGAAGTAGACCCATACAAACCTCATGAAGTTCAACAAGGCCAAGTTCAAGGTCCTACCCATGGCTTGGGACAACCTCACATACAAATAGATGCTGGGCAAGGAGTGGATTGAGAGCAGCTCTGCGGAGAATGACTTGGGGGTGGTAGTTCATCGAAAACTAGCTGTGAAGTAGCAATGTGCGCTCGCAGGCCAGAAAACCAACCGTGTCCTGGGCTGCATCAAGAGAAGCGTGGCCAGCATGTCAAGGTGGGGGATTCTCCCATTCTGCTCTGCTCTCATGTGACTGTCCCTGTTGTCTGGTTTTGAGCTCTTGTGATCCAATCATAAAAAGGACATGGACATGCTCAAGCAGGTCCAGAGGAGGCCGTGAAGATGACTGGGGGGTGGGAGCACCTCCCTTGTGAGGACAGGCTGAGAGAGTTTGTGTTGTTCAGACTGAAGAAGAGAAGGCTCCAAGGGAGAAATTCTAGTGGCCTTCCAGGACTTAAACAGGGCTACAGGAAAGATGGGGAGGGACTATTTATCAGGGATTGCAGGGATAGGACAAAGGGTAATGGGTTTAAACTGAAAGAGGGTAGATTTAGCTTAGATAAAAGGAGGAAATTCTTTACTATGAGGATGGTGAAACACTGGAAGAGGTTGACCAGAGAAGTGGTGAATTGCCCCTCCCTGGAACTGCTCTAGGCAACCTGTTCCAGTATCTCAGCATCCTCATCGGAAAACATTTCTTCCTTATTTCAAATCTAAATCTACCCTCTTTCATTTTAACACCATTGCCGCTTGCCCTTCCAATACAGATCCTGGTGAGAAGTATCACTCCATCTTTCTTGACCTGTAACCACTATGTTTTCATCTCCAAACACCTTTGAGAGTACCCAGACATCACCCCAAGATGGGGTTTAGAGGACTCAAGCCCATGTGCAATGTGCTTAGATATAAACATTCTGGGCTAAGTGCTGTGGAGACTTGGGACAGTCTAGGAGTAGCCCAAGAACCCTTGAAGGGTGGTTTGAGAGATGGTGCACTTTTTCTTCACAGTGGAAAACAGCATGAGAAAGAAATAATGTCATACTGTGCAGCTGGGGAAGTCCAGACTGGACAACAGGATAAATGCTGTGGTGCAACATATGACCCAGGAGGAGTACGGATCAGATCAAGGCTTTGTTTTTCAAGGAAGAGCCAGGGAGGATGGTGAGAGATCAGGAAAGGAAGGAAGATGCTCAGGTGGGAGCGAGGTGAGACAGCTGGGGGGATGAGGACAGCCTGCAGGGAAAGAGGCGCAGGGCATGCAACCCCATAGGACAGCCTGTGGTGGAGATGACAGAGGGCTGTGGGAAAGGTGAAAGCCCCCAGTAAAGTCAACCTCATCACGATTTTGGCTATGGCTGTTGTCTCTGCCACTGATGCCTGTGAGGAGGCACAGTCCCTTGCAGCATGGGGGCCTCATGGCCTCCTTGTGCATCTTCAGGAGCCTGGGAGGTGCACATCTCCATAGCCCCTACCCTAGGAAGAGCCCTGAGGAATGTGGGAGGGACAGGATCTCCCTTCCCAGGGGCTGGGGGTCATGGCTTGGCCATTTGGTTAATGGGCTTAGGACTTGGAACTTTGGCTTAATGCAACACATTCAGGTTTACTCAGCATCAGAGCCACCTTTCCCTTTTAGTTTTTGACTTCTCATCACTGCCTCCAGATTTCTGCTCTAACTGGACCCTGAGGAGGCTTTGTCAACAGTGTCCCTCAGTGGGAGCCATTAACACTCTAGGAAACTTTGGAGTTTGAATATAACTTTGACTTCTTCAGAGGTTTCTTCAGCTTCTCAGTGCCTGAGGTTCATGGAGTTGGCACCAAACCCTCCTGAGGGGTCATTAAAGTGCCTTGGGCTGTTGCTGTGGTGCTGAGCTGGGCCGGGCTCCTGGGCCGCAGGGAGCTCCTGGCAAGTGGGCAGCGCTGCAGAGAGACAGCTCTGCCCAGGAGCAGCTCCTCTGCAAAGCGCAGCAGGGCTGGGGGCACTGCCTGCAGGCACCCAGGGCAGAGCAGCGAGGCACACACAGCTTCAAGGCAGCCTGGGCTGGGAGGCTGCTGAGAGCTCCGAGGAGGAGAAAGCGTCAGGGCCCTGGCCACAGTAAGTCTGGGGGTGCAGGGCAATGCAGCTGCAGCTCGGGGAGGGATCTGGGGAAGGCGGCAGAGCCGCCAGGAATCTGCCTCCTGCCTAGAGGAGGAGGAGGAGGAGGAGGAGGAGGAGGAGGAGGAGGAGGAGGAGGAGGAGGAGGAGGAGGAGGAGGATCTTCTCCCGAGCAGGGCTTCCCTGGTGCCCCCTGCGAGGGCCAGGGCATGAGGGCTGCCTTCTGGCGGGGCCGGCTGCAGGGGTGTGCAGCCGGGTGTGCAGGCAGGGGTGCCCAGGGCTGTCCTTCCCAGCAGGGTCCCTGCACCCCAGGGGGCTGTGTGCTGGGGCAGGGACTCTGCCGCCTGCCAGGGTCAGCACTCAGCCTGCCCGGGGAGCTCCCCACGGCGCTGTGGGGAGAAGCTGTGGGGGGAAGGAGAGACCCCCGCCAGGGCAGGCTCCTTCTGCTCTACAGAGGCTGCTACGTGGATCAGGGATGCTCACAGCTCCAGATCACGTATAGCACATTTGTATTTCAAGAGGAAATTGAAGGCAGGGGCCACCTTAATAATGTGAACCTTTTTAGGCTATATGATCTCGTGTTTCTTCTAAGAAAAAGTAGAAAGGGGCTGTGAAATTTGAATAATTCACTGAGACTCCTGAAATGTTAAACTGAGGGATCAGCAGGATTGCCAGAAACTTCATAAAGTGCCTTCACCTACTCCTCTACTTACAGACACAACAGCATGATTTTTGTTTGAGGGTTCTGGTTTTGCCTGCTGTTCTCCTTTGAATCTGGAAGTAGGGAATGCCCCTGGGCAGTGCCCTATTGCCAGGAGGGGTCTGCAGGGCAGAGCTGAGCACAGGGCGGGTGGGATGGGGGCTGGCAGCACTGTCAGGGCAGTGACATGGGGACACAGAAATGACTCCTGGCAGAAAACAGCTCCAGGGAGCAGAGAGCCAGGACTTGCTCCAGCATTCTCTTGACTCTGTACTAGGGCACAGGGAGCCTTTTTTTCCCTCAGGTCTCCCCTGTGTTCAGGCGGAGAGAAATGTGAAAGATGAGGATTTCTTCCCCTTCAATGAACGTCTCCTCAGCAACATCAAAATCTGAGCTCATAAAAAGGAATTGAATATATTTTCCCCAAAGAAAGATAAATAGTTTTGAGGAGACTTTTTGGGAAACAGCAAAAGATTGAATAAAAGAAGTTTGTCCTAACTTGTCAATGTCTTCTAGTTCAATCTCCCTGCCTGCAGTGAACAAATGTCCAACAGCAGCTCCATCACCCAGTTCCTCCTCCTGGAATTCGCAGACAGACGGGAGCTGCAGCTCCTGCACTTCTGGCTCTTCCTGGGCATCTACCTGGCTGCCCTCCTGGGCAACGGCCTCATCATCACCACCATCGCCTGTGACCACCACCTCCACACCCCCAGGTACTTCTTCCTCCTCAACCTCTCCCTCCTCGACCTGGGCTCCATCTCCACCATTCTCCCCAAAGCCATGGCCAATACCCTTTGTGACACTAGGGCCATTTCCTACCCGGGATGTGCTGCACAGGTATTTCTTTTTCTATTTTTGGTATCATCAGAATATTTCCTTCTCACCATCATGGCCTATGACCGCTATGTTGCCATCTGCCAACCCCTGCACTACGGGACCCTCCTGGGCAGCAGAGCTTGTGTCCACATGGCAGCAGCTGCCTGGGGCACTGGGCTGCTCTATTCTCTGCTGCACACTGCCAACACATTTTCCCTACCACTCTGCCAAGGCAATTCCATAAACCAGTTCTTCTGTGAAATCGCCCAGATTCTCAAGCTTTCCTGCTCAGATTCCTACCTCAGGGAAGTTGGACTTATCATGGCTAGTTTCTGTTTAGCATTTGGTTGTTTTCTTTTCATCGTACTGTCATATGTACAGATATTCCGGGCCGTGATGAGGATCCCCTCTGAGCAGGGACAGCACAAAGCCTTCTCCACGTGCCTCCCTCACCTGGTCGTGGTCTCCCTGTTTGTCAGTACTGTAATCTTTGCCTACCTGAAGCCCTCCTCCATCTCCTCCCCATCTCTGGACATGGTGGTGTCATTTCTGTACTCGGTGGTGCCTCCAGCAGTGAACCCCCTCATCTACAGCATGAGGAACCAGGAGATGAAGGACGCACTGAAGAAGCTGATTCAGTCAGCTGAATCTCAACAGGGATAAGCTTCCTGTGTCTCTTCAGAAGTCATTTCCAATTCTTATCTGAATCCTTCTGTGCAGTAAGCATTTTATTTGTGAAACTCTTTTTTGTTCCTAAAATGTCTGTATCCACTCCTCTTCCTCAGAGACTTGAACCAGCATCTCTGTCAGAGAGGACATTGTGCGCTGTGTCTGATGGGACAATGCAGCTGGCCTCCCATTAAATATATCCATTATAAAAGAGGCTTGTCTCAGTGCCCATGTCTGGAGGTTGGTATCTTCTTCCCAAGCTGAGGTCAGGAACAGGCTGAAGGAATTGCCCCGCTGAGCGTGCTGCTGTGCTGGGGTTCTCCAGGGGTTCAGGGCAGGAGGGCATGGGGGGATGTGTTAGGGAATAGGCCTGTGCTGCCCCTTCACGTGGGGGTGCCCAGTGCAATGGCAATGATGGCTGATCCAGGGGGATCTCCCTGGGACCATCTCCCCGTGGCTTTCAGCCACCACTGCCCTGCAGAGCAGCACCGCCAGCTCAGGGCCGTGCCTGAGGTGACATCCCATGACAAGAGCAGACCTATTTCTGGAGGCACCAGTTTGGGCAGCTTTTCTCTGGCTGGCACAGCAGGAGCTGCCTGGGGAGCCCCCAGTGCAGGAGTCTTGTGCTGGGGAGAGGGACGGGCACAGAGGGGCTGCCAGCACTGGGCAATCAGGATCTCTTGGAGAGAAGAGCAGCAGAGAGAGGAGACGCTGGCCTGCGTCTGCTCATGGCATGGCTGGCCCCAGCCCTGGGGCTGATGGGGAGGCTGAGAGCCCTCTGTGCCCCAGGAGCTGCTGTGACCTTCCGAGGGGCTGGGGCTGTGGGGTGAGTGCCCAGAGCTCTGCAGCACCCTGCGCTGGGCAATGCCATGGGGCCAGCCAAGACTGGGCTGTTGTGCTGGGATGGGATGGTCTGGGGAGAGTGTGGTGGGCATGGGGAGTGCTGGGGAGGTGCTGGGCTGGGGTGGAAAGTGCTTTGGAGAGAAAAACACCAGTGTACAGCTTATACTGTGTGGAGATGCAGGGTGAGCACTCACACCAGGGGATTTGTGGTGCGGAGCCAGGGCTCATGACAGGGATCAAAGACATGAAGGCAGAGGAGAGAGGATGCTGTTCTGTGCTCTTGGTGGCCTGGCCAGGCTGGGAAGGTGGCCCAGGACATTCATCACCCCCCAGCCTATCTCGCTGGTCATTTCCAGCACTGGCTGCTCACCCGGGTTTATGGGTGAGCGTTGCTGCTAAACCATCTCCATCCTCCTGCTGGTCTCAGTGCCTGTATGGGGGGACCAGCCAGCCCTGCCCGGCCTCTCTCCTGGTGCAGACCCTGGCAGACTGAAGAGAAGGGAGGTCTGTGTATGCCCACATGGGACACAGCTGGGGCTGGGAAAGTGTTGGATACTGGAGGAGCCTGCAAATAGTATGTTATGAGGTTATGTCTTGCTGGAGCTACGGGGGGGACAATGAACTGATTGCTCTCACTGGCATCATAATTGGGGGAACTTACCCTGACAGCAAGTAGGCTGGGGGTGTATAAGAAGCTGGGAGGGGACACAACTGGGACAGCTGACCTCAGCTGACCAAAGGGATGGTCCATACTGTATGACAGTGTGCTCAGTAATAAAAAATACAGGTAAAGCATAAGGGGAGATGTTTGTAGTGACAACGCTGGTCTTCCCAAATAACCGCTGTGCATGATGAAGTCCTGCTTTCCTGGAGATGGCTGAACACCTGCCTGCCGGTGAGAAGTAGTGAATGAATTTCTTTATTGTGCTTGACACTTGTACACAGCTTTGTTTTATTTATTAAACTGTCTTTACCTCAACCCATGAGTTTTCTCACTTTCACCCTTCCGATTTTCTCTCCCCTCCCACTGGGGAGGAGTGAGTGAGTGGCTGTGTGAGCCTAAGCAGTCTACTGTGATTAATCCACAACATCTCAGCCTCTCTAGATCTCCCTGGATGGCAACTCTGCCCTCCAACATATTGACCCTTACTTCCACAATTCAGTGGCATCTTCAATCTTAGTGAGAGTGCACTCTTTCAGTTCTTCCATGTCTTTGGTAAAGATGTTTGCCAGGACAGATCCCAGGGTGAACACTTGCAGTACTCCATGTGTTACTGATCTGCCTGCAGAGAAAAATTCATTCACCATGAACTTCTGAACCCCACCATCAAACCAGCCATCCAGATTGTAATGTCCTTACTTGAGCATTTCGCCATGTCCAAAGAGTGGTGGTGAACGCAGTACAATCCAGCAGGCAGCTGGCCACAAGTGCTGTTCCCCAGGGATCAGTACTGGGGCCAGTTCTCATTAATATCTTTATCAGTGATCTGGATGAGGGGATCAAGTCCACCATCAGTAAGTTTGCAGGCAACACCAAGTTGTGCTGGAGTGTTGATGTGCTGCAATCTAGGAAGGCTCTACAGAGGGGTCTGGACAGGCTGGAGTGATGGGCAAAGGTTGATTGTATGAGGTTCAAGAAAGCTCAGTTTTGGGGTGAGCACTTTGGGCACAACAACCTGATGCAAATCTACAGGCTGGGGGAAGAGTGGCTGGAAAGCTGCCCAGCAGAAAAGAACCTGGGTGTGTTGGTCAACAGCTGGTTGCAAATGAGCCAAGAGAGTGCCCAGCTGGTCAAGAAAGGCAATAGCACCCTGCCTTGTATCAGAAATGCTGTGGCCAGCAGGATTAGGGCAGTGATCATCCCTCTGTACTTCAGCACTGTGAGGCTGCACCTTGAATACTGGGATCAGTTTTGGGCCCCTCATTACAAGAAAGACATTGAGGTGCTGCAGCGTGTCTGAAGAAGTGTAATGAAGCTGGTGAAGGGTCTAGAGCACAAGTCTTATCAGGAGCAACTGTGAGAACTGGGGTGTTTAGAGTAGAGAAATGGAAGCTCAGGAGCGTCCTTATCGGTCTGTACAACTACCTGAAAGGAGGTTGCAGTGAGGTCTGGGCCAGTTTCTTTTCCCATGTAACAAGTGAAAGGACAGGAGGAAATGGCCTCAAGTTGCACCAGGGGAGGTTTAAATTGAATATGAGGAAACATTTCTTTCCTGGAAGGGTTATAAAGCATTGGAAAAGGCTGCCCATGAAAGTAGTTGTGTCACCATTGTTGGAGGTACTTAAAAGACATATAGATGTGGCACATAGGGACCACATTTAGTAGTGGGCTTGGCAGTGTTAGTTTAATGGCTGGATTTGATGACCTTAAGAATATGTTCCAACCTAAATGATTCTATGATTCTGTGACTGACAGGGAAGATGGGGAGTGAGACATGGCCTGTTTAATGTGGCTCACTTATATGGAGCTCCTCTATGGGACAGGCAGAAGTTTAGGTTGGTGCTTGACATAAAATCACAGAATCACAGAATGGTTTGGATTGGAAGGGACCTTTACAGATCATCTAGTTCCAACCTCCCTGCCTTGATGATTAACTTCTATTCGTTCTTTTTCTTTCTTTTTTTTTTTTTTTTTTTTTTTTCTGATTCTTCAGTGTTTTTAAGACTTGTCAAAGAAAAACAGAAAGTACACCAAAAGAGATATTGAGTGAATTGCCAGTGAAAACCAGGTGAGCTACCCCCATGCCTGTGTGTTCCTGGCAAGGAGTCTGTCCTGAGAAGGGGATCCAGCCTCTGCCACTCTCTGGAGAGGGAAATCAGCAGTGCCCATGCCTCCTGGGGACACAAAAGGAGACTTTTACAAGAGCAGCCTTCATGTGAACTGCTTTGGAAGGGCGACTTGAGGATGGCTTACATTGCAAATACTGATTGAATTGACATTGCCCAGAATGTCTACAAAGCAAGCAGAGTGCTACATTGCACTAATTTACACTCAATTAATTCACTTTGCTTTGTTTCTTTGTTTCTTTCAGGTACTGCTACTCTTAGGGAAGTCATACTAACATCTTAAGGATTCTTGACAGAAGCCTCACTCTGTTTACATCTCAAGGAATGAGATGCCAGAGGCCAAGGGAAGGACAGGTTGGACACTCATCAGGGATTTAGCAAACCAAAGCGTGCTCCCCTCTCCACAGTACCATACCCCCGTTATCGAGAGATGTGAGAAACTCTGCAAACTAGATCTGGATTTACAGTTGTGTAACTTATGCCTAGTTGAAAAAGGTGTTTTCATGCAAGATCACGTTTTGAGATTTCATTTGAGCCCAAACCATTTAAATTCACACTACCTCCATCTTCATTCCGATGCTGCGTGATGTGTGACAGAGCTGTTCTGTATCTTCAGGCAGGATGGGGAAAAATTTGATGCCTGAACTGGAAATTGTCCCCTTGCCAGCAATGTGAATGCAGCAGGCTGGAGCCAAGAGGCCCAAGAAACCAAATTTCCGTAGGAACATCTAATGAAACATCCCGTAGGCTGTTGGACTTCCTTTCTGTTGATAGAGAATTTGTAAATCCAGATGATACAGCTTCATCTATTTTTTGTTTCTCTTTGAAACTTGTCTCTCAGCACTGAGGTACTTAGCATGTATTGTTACTTTAAATGTCTGGTTTTGAAAAACTAGCCCAGCGTGTGGAGATTTTTAGTGTCAAATTCAAGGAGGTGATGGGGTTTATACTCTGGGTATCTTTTATCAGGTTCTGTCAGGAGTTTTGCTGAATCCTGATGATTTCCTTCCCTGAGTCTCCTTTCTAGAGAAGCCTCACCTGGAGTTCAAAGTACTCAGGGCTGTCAGGAAAGGCAGGCCTCGCCACAACAGATTCCAGCCTTTCCAGCAGTTCAGAAGTTGCAGCCTGATTTGAGAACTAGTTTAGCAATGCTTCCTCCCTGCAGTGCCTGGGGAGAGCTGAGCTGTGCCTGGGTCACTGAAGGAATTGTTGGTGTTATAAACTGCAGGAGACAGTACAAAGGAGGGGGGAATTTTTTTTTGTTCTTTTTTGCTGGTGCATCACTTATTGATGTTTGGGGAGAAAAGGTCAAGGGCAGAGCAGGGCATTAGGTCTGGGTCATGGATTGCAGAGTGATCACAGAAGGGAAGATGTGGTGGGGTAGAGGCAGAGGGTGAGGCCCCAGGTCTTTGTTCCCAGGCACTGTCAGCACAGAGGTCAACCCTTCATGTTGAGCATTGCAGGTGGGTGCTGGATGTCCCGAGTCAGGGAACTGCTGATTTTTCTGTGGGTGTTTGTGCAGGTAAAGTGTGTGAGCGAGAGCAGAGTCTCAGCCCTGTCTTGT